GAATACAAGCCAAACATCATTGAATTTGTGAAATTATACAAAAAATGATTTCAATACACTTAGAACTGATACAATTGATACAACCACACAGATTTTGAGAAGACGGAGCGTATAGAGTTACGTCTTTTACTTTTGTTATACTTTTGATGTATATAAATATGAATCAAACAGATATAAATATTTTCCTTAATCAATGTAATGGTTGTGTTTACTTTGATTACTATGATGCAATTGTTGTGATACTACATATGACGTCATCCACCCCCGAACGTTTCCGTCATTCCGGTTTGGGGGTGTGACAAATGGCAACACCGAAGGGGCTCCGAATGGACATGGAAGCCGGAGGATGAGATGCGAGACCACTACCCAGACTTATTTGGGTCGGTAGACTTCGAGGACGAAGTCTAGTTCAAGTGGGGGAGATTTGTAACACATGTTCCAGGTATTAAGTTAATTTTCTAAATTTTGGGTTTTGGTGCTGGGACTCGACGAGTTGGAAGCTCTGACTCGTCGAGTGGAGGCTATCATGAGGACGCGGAAGTTGGGTCCTACTCGACGAGTCGGAAGGCCTGACTCGGCGAGTAGGAGCTGTAAAGAGAAACCCTAATTTTTAGGGTTTGCATCCTATATAACCTCCTTAAGAACCTTGAGGCTGATCGTCCATCAGCCTCTAAACCCTAAAACGTCTGTGCTAAACCCTAATCGCCATTTTCTTTCATTTTGTGAGCTAAGAGTGACTTGTGGAGCTTAAGGAGAAGGAGATAATGAGAAAAAGGAAGAGATCCAGCAAACCAAGCCCTCACTCTTGAGCTTGACCATCTTGTGGACTGTTGTAAGTCTTCAAGACTCGATTTTTATCTTAGAATATAGCTAGATCTTGAGTTTACTCTTCATTTCCCATCATCCTTGTTGATTGCATGCATGGGGTTCATAAAGTTTGCAACTTTATGGATCTCCAGGGCAAAATAGTCCCAAGGTGGGCTAGATCTAGTTTTTGGTCAAGCAAGGATGCCATGCAAGGGTTTTTAGTGTATTTTTCCCCTTTTTGGTCATTTTGGCTTAAAGACATGCATTGGACATGTATGTCAATAAAGCCTCCATCTTTGGAACGTTTTGAGGACTAGAAACTCTTCTGGAAAGGAGGGATTTCATATCCCTAGAGTCTTGGACCACATGGCAAAGCTTTTGAGCTTTCCAACCTTTGATAAGGGCCTTAGAGCATTTGGAGTGGTTCTAGAAGGTAAAGTTGGAAACTTTATCCTTCTAGACACCTTAGGGTTTCAGATCTAAGACCTGGAGTCCCTACATTTGGTGTATCATCATAATAAGCAAACAGGGAGGGGGACTCGGCGAGTTGCCCTGGCGACTCGACGAGTCGGATGGGGTTTCCCCGTCTACTGGATATCAAGTGAACTCGTCGAGTTAATGAAACAACTTGGCGAGTTGGCTAGGGTTTGTTCAGGTTTTCTGGACTCTGTGGGAACTCGACGAGTCACTGGATGCACTCGACGAGTTGAGGTCAACATGAACTGTTGACCTTGACTTTGACCAGGGTTGAATTTGAGGGTAATTATGGAATTATGACAAGTTAATCACACAATTGTTATAGGCGGTTGAGTTGGAGCTGATTCTAGTTTGCCAGTTCAACATTCGAGAGGTGAGTCTTCTCACCATACCAATGGGTCTACGACACCAAGGCCGGCCCATTTTATGATATGTGGTACACTAGCTGTAGTAGAGAAATGTGGTATGATAGTTAGCTTTATGCTAAGTGGTATGCTAGTGATTATGTATGTTATTGCATGGAAGACCCCGG